CCCCAAAACCCCAAAACCCCAAAACCCCAAAACCCCAAGATAAATTTAACATATTGAAATTAGTAGCGCATGTTTAGGAATGGAACCAAAATTTATTGTTTATTTTAGTCATTAGATTCATAATGACTTATAAATCCAATTTGGTAAATTTTTCTTCAGAGTTTCCTTATTTTTAAATCTCTCATCAACTAAGTATATATTTGCAAAATCATCAATATGCCGAATTCCTCTTCCAATGCTCTGATTTATAGCTTTCCAACATCATGCTTCTACATAAAAATCAGACTTGTCCTGCATCTCAATAGTATTCCTATTCGGGTAGGGAAGGCCAACTACAACAATTGCTCTTGCTAAATTATCGCTAAAATTTATCCCTTCAGAAAGTTTGCCCCCAATAACACAGAACAGGATAGAGTCCTTCTCCTGAGATTGGTCTTGAACACACTTGGTGTATCTTTCCATTAATTTTTCAACATTTTCACCAGGTTTTTCCTCAAAAATGGCTAATTTTTGGTCATCAATTTTAGCCTCAAAAGTACCTAATTCAGTGAATTTTGATATGATAAATTGCTTGAAGCTGTAGCTCTGGAAGAAAACAACTATTCCTTTATTTTCAATCGGGTTTTGTTGGGTTTCCCGCAGGATTTTAGGCAAATCGTTTAAGAAAACACCTAAGTTATAAACCTGGGTTTCACTGAATCTTGATTTGAAAGAAAAATTAAATTCTGGCTCTGATTTGGGATACTTTAAGATGGTTTCGCACCTGAGATTGGCTTGAGGGATTATATGGTCTCAGCTGAAATGGGAAACTTCTGATGGCTTTTCTTTTGAGAAAAAGTTCAGAAGTGTTTTGAAGTCCTCGATTGGCTTTAGAGTCCCAGAGGCAAAGATCACATCTCTAGCATGCTTCATTATGTCTCTGAATGGTCTGAATTGGTTCAAATTAAAATTGGAGATTTCTATGTTTGGAATTTCTGCTCAAGAAGATGTTTTAAGCAGAAATCTGGCATCTACATCAAGTTGGTTGAATTTAGCTAAGAAATCTTTAAAGGTATAAAGTAAGGACCTGTCTATTCTGTTCGGTATCTTTTTGCTGCTGGTCTTGGCTTGCTTCTCTTTAAGATTTCGATAAAATCCGCTGATCCTTCGAATAACATCATTTTTCTCTAAAAATTGTATCCAATTAGTCACATTTGGAAGAAAAACAGCATTGTGCTCTGTATCTTTATCCATAATTTCTTGAAAAGATTCTAAATCTTGCATGTCAGGAAGGTACTTCCTAACTTCTTCTACTGAATCTTGCCAATGAGTCGTAATGTATAACACAACTTGTGAGATATCTACAAATTTTCCAATTTTTGGAACTTCTTTCTCTAACTGAGATTTCAAATAGTGAAGGATAGAATTCGTGAATAAGAGCAACTGAAGAAGAATCTTTTGGGTTTCCGGAGCAAGTCTTCGATGATATTTGTCAAGATAACTTTTCAATGAAATAATCACTTCCTGAAAGCTTGATGGCCCCTTCATTGATAAGCTACAATGGCTCATCTGATTGAATGCATCGAATATGTTATGAGCTTCATCGAATAGAATCACAGCGTCTTTGACAATGTCAAGATGCGGAATTGCTTGGTACGGAAGGATCACCATGTCAGCATCTTCAGTAAGATATTTAATGGCAAAATAAGGGCAAGAGACAGAACTTTTACCTTCTTTAACTATATCTTCTATGTCCATCACTTTTGGCGTTTCTTTGGTTGTAGACTCTGCAATTTTGCTAGCTAAGGCTTCTGGTTGGTACTGCCCAATTTGGTTGTAAAGGCACTTGTTGCATTCAAGTTTGTCTTTACATCTATCATTTATTAGTTCAGCTGAAAGTGAGCTCTCAGAGTCTCCACAAACTTCTTTATTGGCTCAGGTGAACTTCCTTGAACTTATTGGAACAACCAAAAGATCTTTACTTAAATTTGGAATCTTATTCAACTCAGATATCACTTGAGCAATCTGAGAATGTGTTCTGCACGCATAAATGATCCTACTTGGGCCTCTGATGGAGCTATTTTTACTCTTCTTAGCTCTAAAGTTATTCGAATGGTCAAATTTCAGTAAATTAGCCAAAAGTTCTGACTCCTTCTTCAGATTTGGAATTGATACCTCTACATCAGGATGAAATCCAAAAGTATCATCCTTAATAATAAACAAGTCCTCTTCTATTGAAAGAGTTGTCTCTGGTTGAGAAACTTTAGGCCTCTTCTGTGTGGAAGCCTGGATCAGCTTCCTGGTATTCTCGAGGATTCCAAAAATTTTCTTATTTTTCTTCATGGTCTCCATCCTTACTGGCCTTAGTCTTCTTCTCAAGTTGTTTTTGTTCTGCTTTTTGAATATTCTTCCTCAAATTTTTGAAAAAGTCATCTTCTTCAATCTCTTTGGTTTCTTCATGAGTAGCTTGTTCATTCCTGACTTTTCAAAGGAAAGTTAGAATAGAGCAGAGCAAGCTCAGTGTCTTCCCTGTGCCAGTTGGGCTCTCTACTAGATGGACTTTTCAAGTCTCAATCGCTTTGTTCTTGTCTATCATTGTTTGGGTTTTGAGCAGTTGCTCATATACAAAGTTCATCAACCTTTTTTGAGCTGGGTATGGATTTTCGTAAGGAAAATTGAAATCAATTTCATTATCAGAATCTGTTGTCAAACTTATATTCGAGAGATCTATACTTATCTCATCACTATTATCTTCCATTTCGCGGATTTCTATAAATTATTAACCATTTCCATCATAAATTAAAATACCGGGGTTTTGGGGTTTTGGGGTTTTGGGG